TCAACTGCATCAAAAGAGAAAGTGTGCGGTTTGCCGATCAGAAGATGTGACATCAGCAATTACAATCGGTAATCACATGATCATCGACATTGAGTGTCTGCAATGGACCCAGCTTGCCAAAAATCTTGAACATCCTGATTGGCCAGGGACTCTCACGATAAGTCAAGTGCCGGAGAAAATTGAAATCGCAAAGTCAACTTATATATAGTTGAATATGTTGGTGAATTACAATCACCGGAGCCTTGCAAAATGCAATCTGAATTATTAATGGGTCATTACATCGCATATGTTCGTCGAATTACGGGTAGATGGGAAGTTCACAATGACATCCTCGTCGGCGGTAAGTCAGTAATCGCGACAGCACGAATGTTATTTGAAAAGAGAAAGTTGTCCCTTCTAATTTATATTAAAACAGATTAAATGAGGAATCAGTGCTGTAGAAAGCGAGCTTTATTTTTAATTTAATTTTGAATCGAAAAGTCCAAACATTACTTAGTTAATCACACAAGATCTTTGTGATCTTTTATTTTATGTTTTTATGAGCACATAAATATAATATTTGTGTTTTAATTTAATTTTAATCAAACAAAAGTTTATTTTTCATTCGATTGTCAAGTTTTCTAATTTATGGAGGAATTTCGAAGGATTGCACTTCGGCATAAGTATCGTAACAAAAAATAATTAGTAATATCAGTATTTTTTTATTTTCATGAACACCTGATAATATTTTGCGAAAGTGGAAAAACAATATCCGTTCATTTCCATCCAAACATGTTTTTCTGACATAACGAATCCTTTATTGTCGTATCCACGCTTTTCATTCATTTTCTTTATCACTACGATCTAATTTTTTGTCAGATAATAACAACGGTTACCAGGCAACAAACAGTTATCAGCTAAATAAAACTATCTTTTCGGATTATTTCGCAGATTTATTTGGATTTTTAGTAAGTTCTTACTGTGTAGATCAAAATGATAGCATTTTAGATTAATATTTTTCATTTATAAAAGTATATAGTAATAGTGTTGCTTAGTAAATTGTCTTTTTTAAATAATAGCAAACAAAATTAAAATTATTATTCTTAACTAATTTTAACTTTTTATATTACACATAGAACAATTAATTATGGGGCTTAAATAATTAATATTATATATTTTATGTTTTCTTTATGGTTATAAATATAATAATGGCAACACTAAATATAAATTACTAATTAATAATTTTAAAATTGTAATAATTATGATAATAGCAAAAATTAAATAAATAATTACATATTCAATTATAAATCTAATTAAAATTATAAAAATGTTTAAAATTATAAAATATTGTAAGGTACTTTGTGCAATTTTTCATTTGTTAATTGTAGGTAGGCTGTCTGTAACAAATATACCTTCGAGACATCTTATTACTACAACCTTGACGCATGGTATAGGGGCTTAAGCTTCAGTATTTTAAGCGAACCAATGTGGTAAATAAAGTGAATGTTGATAATTCCCGATGGATTATGTATAAGTCTTATAAATGCCCGCTACGAAAATTAAATTCTACTGACCTATCCCAGCAATTTCACGGGAAGTCCATGTTCTCACAGAAGAGTTTTAGGCTTCTCATCGTTTGTACCCGTTTGTACCATGAAGAATTTGGTTTGTATCATCATTATACACGTGCTAATTGATTTTTACGATAAGTTCTCAGCTTCTCTTCGTTTGTACCCGTTTGTACCGTGGAGAATTTGGTTTGTATCATCATAATACACGTGCTAATTAATTTTTACGATAAGTTCTCAGCTTCTCATCGTTTGTACCCGTTTGTACCGCCGAGAATTTCGTTTCTTTCATAATTATACATGAGATAATTGAATTTTACAATAAGTTCTCGGCTTCTCACCGTTTGTACCGACGAGAAATTGGTTTGTATCATCATTTTACATACGCTAATTGAATGTTACAATAAGTTCTCGGCTTCTCTTCGTTTGTACCCGTTTGTACCGTGGAGAATTTGGTTTGTATCATCAGTATACACGTGCTAATTGATTTTCACAATAAGTTCTCAGCTTCTCTTCGTTTGTACCCGTTTGTACCGCCGAGAATTTCGTTTCTTTCATTATTATACATGCGATAATTGAATTTTACAATAAGTTCTCGGCTTCTCACCGTTTGTACCGACGAGAATTTGATTTGTATCATCATTATACATACGCTAATTGAATGTTACAATAAGTTCTCGGCTTCTCTTCGTTTGTACCCGTTTGTACCGTGGAGAATTTGGTTTGTATCATCATAATACACGTGCTTATTAATTTTTACGATAAGTTCTCAGCTTCTCATCGTTTGTACCCGTTTGTACCGCCGAGAATTACGTTTCTATTATCATTATTCAGACGCTAATTGAATATTACAATAAGTTCTCAGCTTCTCTTCGTTTGTACCCGTTTGTACCGTGGAGAATTTGGTTTGCATCATCATTATACACGTGATAATTGATTTTTACGATAAGTTCTCAGCTTCTCATCGTTTGTACCCCCGAGAATTTCGTTTCTATTATCATTATACATACGCTAATTGAATGTTACAATAAGTTCTCGGCTTCTCTTCGTTTGTACCCGTTTGTACCGTGGAGAATTTGGTTTGTATCATCATTATACACGTGATAATTGATTTTTACGATAAGTTCTCAGCTTCTCATCGTTTGTACCCCCGAGAATTTCGTTTTTATTATCATTATTCATACGTTAATTGAATATTACAATAAGTTCTCAGCTTCTCATCGTTTGTACCCCCGAGAATTTCGTTTCTATTATCATTATTCATACGCTAATTGAATATTACAATAAGTTCTCGGCTTCTCATCGTTTGTACCCGTTTGTACCGTGGAGAATTTGGTTTGTATCATCAGTATACACTGTTTATTGATTTTTACGATAAGTTCTCAGCTTCTCTTCGTTTGTACCCGTTTGTACCGCCGAGAATTTCGTTTCTATTATCATTATTCATACGCTAATTGAATATTACAATAAGTTCTCAGCTTCTCATCGTTTGTATCCGTTTGTACCGCCGAGAATTTCGTTTCTTTCATTATTATACATGCCATAATTAAATTTTACAATAAGTTCTCGGCTTCTCACCGTTTGTACCGACGAGAATTTGGTTTGTATCATCATTATACATACGCTAATTGAATGTTACAATATGTTCTCGGCTTCTCTTCGTTTGTACCCGTTTGTACCGTGGATAATTTGGTTTGTATCATCATTATACATACGCTAATTGAATGTTACAATAAGTTCTCAGCTTCTCATCGTTTGTACCCCCGAGAATTTTGTTTTTATTATCATTATTCATACGCTAATTGAATATTACAATAAGTTCTCGGCTTCTCATCGTTTGTACCCGTTTGTACCCCCGAGAATTTCGTTTCTATTATCATTATACATACGCTCATTGAATGTTACAATAAGTTCTCGGCTTCTCTTCGTTTATACCCGTTTGTACCGTGGAGAATTTGGTTTGTATCATCATTATACACGTGCTAATTGATTTTTACGATAAGTTCTCAGCTTCTCATCGTTTGTACCCGTTTGTACCGCCGAGAATTTCGTTTCTTTCATTATTATACATGCGATAATTGAATTTTACAATAAGTTCTCGGCTTCTCACCGTTTGTACCGACGAGAATTTGGTTTGTATCATCATTATACATACGCTAATTGAATGTTACAATAAGTTCTCAGCTTCTCATCGTTTGTACCCCCGAGAATTTTGTTTTTATTATCATTATTCATACGCTAATTGAATATTACAATAAGTTCTCGGCTTCTCATCGTTTGTACCCGTTTGTACCGTGGAGAATTTGGTTTGTATCATCAGTATACACGTGCTTATTGATTTTTACGATAAGTTCTCAGCTTCTCTTCGTTTGTACCCGTTTGTACCGCCGAGAATTTCGTTTCTATTATCATTATTCATACGCTAATTGAATATTACAATAAGTTCTCAGCTTCTCATCGTTTGTACCCGTTTGTACCGCCGAGAATTTCGTTTCTTTCATTATTATACATGCGATAATTGAATTTTACAATAAGTTCTCGGCTTCTCACCATTTGTACCGACGAGAATTTGGTTTGTATCATCATTATACATACGCTAATTGAATGTTACAGTAAGTTCTCGGCTTCTCTTCGTTTTTACCCGTTTGTACCGTGGAGAATTTAGTTTGTATCATCATTATACACGTGCTAATTGATTTTTACGATAAGTTCTCAGCTTCTCACCGTTTGTACCCGTTTGTACCCCCGAGATTTTGTTTCTATTATCATTATACATACGCTAATTGAACGTTACAATAAGTTCTCGGCTTGTCATCGTTTGTACCCGTTTATACCGCAGAGATTTTTTGTAGGAAAAAAAAATTATGTACATATATTTATAAACATGATATTTTTTTATTTATGTATACTTTTTCAGTTCTAATAATCGTATAATCCTTTACAAACGATATACTTCCAGTTGGCATCAACAAACATGTCGTATTTTTAGATTGGCTGTGAACGATACATATTTTGGCACCCCTATATTTCTCACCCCTTAGAGGTACAAACGATTTTAAGAGCGGTACAATCCAGTACAAACGTTATGCTTCCAATTGGCATCAACAAAAATGTCGTATTTTTAGGTTGGCTGTGAACCATACATATTTTTGCACCCCTATATTTCTCACCCCTTTGAGGTACAAACGATTTTAAGGGCGGTACAATCCAGTACAAACGATATGCTTCCAATTGGCATCAACAAAAACGTCATATTTTTAGGTTGGCTGTGAACCATATATATATTCGAACCCCCATATTGCTCACCCCTTTGAGGTACAAACGATTTAAAAAGCGGTACAATCCGGTACAAACGTAGTACAATCGAATAGAATTGATAAAAACTAATTATTGTTTGGTCAGTTTCTAACTTCACATAGGTCAAATATATTCCACATAACACATCCCACTCACAGTCAAAGCCTCCTTAGTGGCAGAGCTGTACTCGCAGTACGCACACTTATGTATGCGTCCGAGGCCGTGTCGCGCTCGTTTGTGCTCCTGCAGCTGGTTGTTGTTGCGGCAGCGCTTGCCGCAAGCCTGGAAATGTTATTCAGGAGTTCAAAAGGCACATGGATTTCAAAATTAATTTAAAAAATAAATAAATCACTCTTAGGGTGATCTTTCCACCCTTGGGGTGGAATATTATAATCGTCCGCCATTGGAGCGGAATATTATAATCATACCACCGTTGGGGAAGAATCTATTCTAATATTATAAAGAGGTAATTTTTTTTTTGTTTTTAGGTATCGAAAACTAGTGAACCGATGTAGATGAAATTTGGTAAGAAGATAGTTTGAGACCCTGGGAAGGACATAGAATAATATTTATCCCGGAAATCATCCCTTACAGTTCGTACGGGAAATCAATCTATGGACGAACCCGAGCGAAGCGATGTTGAGTCACTTGTATTATAATAATTCAGCCATTGGGATAGAATATTATGATCAATCCACCATTAAGGCAGAGTATGATTTTATATTAATATGTGATCTATTTACAAAATAAAATCATAAAAAATAATTTTAACATTAAAAACCTACACTCGAATCAATCAACATTTTTTGAAGTCTTGAAAGAAAAAGACACTGTAACAGCTCCATGGGCATAAAATTCAGTACAGAGATAACTTTAACATTATTATATAAGCTATTTTACATCGACATATCTACCACCGAGTTGGCAAAACCAAAGATATATAAAATTAATTCTCACCTCGCAAACACAATAATTTGTGTGAAACCTGATGTGTGCCTTATATGTTGCTTTCATCCGGAACTCCTTATCACATGTATTGCATTTATAAGATGAAGCGTTCGGTATGATCTCTCTTTTTCTTTTTACAGGCACTTTTGAATGCGATTGCATATTTTGTTGCTGTAAAAATTATAAAGGGTTGTAATTCCTTAATATATTTATGTTAAATAATAGCAAACTAAATTAATATTAATATTCTTAATTTTTTAAGTATTTAAATAACATAGATAATAATTTAATATTTTATTACACTAAATAAGATTACTATTATTAAAGAAATTAAATTAAGAAATACAATTTATTTACCAGTACTATTCTATAAAGCTGTTATTATTTAGTGAACGGTTAAAATCTAGCTATCTTATTTTTCATTATGGTCTTTTCTGGTGACCAGAAAAGACCCATTGAAATCTGTCCAGGCATTCTCTTAGAATTATTTAGCCAAATGCTAAAGCCAAATACACTAGTATAAGAGACCAGAATTCTCTGGTGGAAGAGGGTTGGACAAACAAAGAGAGGAGAAGAAAGAAAAGAAATGTTAAAGAGATTTTACAATTTTTTGGCCATATTAAGGTCCTCCACTCCACTCAATTGGTCTAGGGCTCCTTTTAAAATATCGTGAAAAAACCTGCATATCAGAGTGAACCTAATAAGTTCTCGAAAGACATGCTCAGTGGCCATCACTTGCCCAGCGTGGTGGGCTTTGATCTGTTGCCCGTTATATTGAAACAGGCCTGAGCCTAGCAGTGGGACATTAAAAAGAGTTGAACACATATACAAATTAAAAACTATTTATGTACTATTTATATTCTATTTATGTCCTGGTAGTATAAATTTATAAATTAAGCAAATATAATTAAAACAATTTTTAATATACTCTCTCTCTCACAAACTTACATTTTTATCTATTTTAGACTTGTCCTCGTCTTCATCATATAAATAGTCTAAGTCATTTTGAAAATCATCGAATGCATCATCAAAATCAACTTCTATTTCTACTTTTGGCAACTTTTTCTCTCTTACTTTACTAGGTTTGAGTAATCTTTTCTTTGTTTTCCCATAGGCCATATTAAGAAGGGCCTTCTCGGTTTTTTTACTTGTCCTCCTAAATTGTAAAGCCAATTGGATAGTTTCAATGCATTGATTGCAGATCTTTTGGGAGAGTCCATCATTTACTCTAATCTGAAAATATAAGTATAAATTAATAAATAGGAAATAAATATAAACAAATATTTCAATTTAGAAATTATAAACTATTCTATGTAGTAAATAATTAAAAATGATTTTTATAATGTCGTATAATCTCATTATCCATATTCATATTAATATTATAAGTTTGAAAGTTAGTGAGGATTGATGGATAGATTTTTGTTAAACTTTTGTGCCAGAAGAACTGAACGGATCTGGATGAAATTTGGCACTGAGATAGACTATAGTCCTTTTTATTAGTTCGCGTGGGTTTCGCTAGTTAAAAACAAATCTAAAATAAATAATAATAAATGATACAAATTATACTGTTACACTACTACTTACAAGCTTTAAACTCTGTTAAAACATAAAATAATGTAGGTAGATTTTACATAATATTTTGTAAATTTACATATATACAAATAAAAGTTTTGGTATAGGAAAATATTTGCTTAAAACTCAAATAAAGACGTAATATTGGTATATGAACACACCTCTAAACCAGTTACTAATCGTAGATCTTCTGAACGTTTTTGCTCTGTTTCCTTATTATAAAATATAGGCACAAGGTCCTCAGTACTTAAACAAGTCCTACAATAATCGTCTTCTATCATTTTCTTTTCAGGTTTTATTGTTTTAGCAGTTTTGAGGAGACTTCTCCGTCGAGCCGCCATTCGGTTCATTAAAAGAAATAATGGCACCATTTTAGTTTTTTTGCCACTGACGACATATAAAACTTAAATAAATATACATATTATTAGTTGATAAATTAAATTTTGTTTATTTCACACATAAATATGACCCTTTGTTAGTTTAATTGGATGTTCCTGTAATCAAAACATTGGATGTTTGACAAACTATTACAGGGTTGCCATTTTTGTATAACTATTAATTCATGGTTGCCATCTTTCAAACAAAAAAAATTGCATTAAAGCAAACTATTGACGTAGAAGCCAAAACTTTAAAAGCAACCTTTTTTATAACAAACCAGCTTGCTTACATGAGTAAGTTTGTATGAACAAACTTTCATCCCCATTCTCACCCCCTTAAGCGATCATTTCTGGAATAAAACTATTTCACTCACCCACTTTTCACATCATGAGATTTAAAAAAAATATATTAAAAAAATCTTTTAATTTTCTTCTATACAAAACTTGACCAGACAATAACAAACACAGAAAAAAAGAATTATCCAATTTGGTGCAGTCGACCCGAAGTTATGCGCGTATATACATTTCGGTGATTCATTTTTATTTATATAGATAGATGAGAAAGTTTCAAAATGGAATTATACATTATACAATGCAATAAAATGTCTATCATATAAAACTGATATTCAAATTTATACAGCTTACATAAGGATTTTTATCCGACTTAAGGATATTTTTAATATTATCACTTTTGAACCCCGTTTTTAGATAATTCATAAAATTGCTCTCGGAGTGAATATAAAGTCTGTAAAAATAAAGCTAATTAAATCTAATTATGACATTTATAATGAGCAATATGTATGCATCAATATAACTTCCCTATATATTATTATACTCTTTGAATATAAAGTTTCGATTAGAATCTGCAATCAGGTCACTCCCTAACAGCCAGAAATAGTTATAGGAAAAGTTAAAAAACCTGATTTTTTTTTTTACTTTATTCTATTTATTTTCTTTAGCTATAAATATAAAGCTCTTTTAAATAAATCTTCTCGGATTTTATCGGGAATATCGATTATTGATTCCCGACGTTTCGAATAATTTACAGCATATGGAAGAGACATTTTATTTAAAATGTCAAATATAAAACTAAATATTAAAAAAATACTTTGTAATGCTATTATTTTATTTTAATAAAGTACAAGAAACAACTTTAATTCCTTTCAATTATCAAGTATAAAGATTTACAAAAAAAAAAACATTTTTTTTGTCAAAATTCTTTATTATCTACATAAATCACTATTTACAAACTTGTGAACATACTTACATTACGACATAAATTCAATTCTAATTACAAAAATGTGAATTTACTATCTATATTATAATATTATTATCATTCCACTGAACACCTTTGATACAAAATTAAAAAAGTTACTCTACTTATACTTTATAATATCTTTGCATCGATCAAAAAAGTACTAGATACACAATCCCATGCAAAAGTTCTTTTAAAACTGTCACCGATTGTGTTTAGGTAATTGTTCTAGTTGAAATAAATATACAACAATGTAAATTGAACCTTAAACGCAATGCTTAAAGTTGTTTTCACAAAAAAAAGCGCGCTCAAATGTTCAAATGAGCGCTCAATCGGTGAGACATTTTTTGTCGCTGATTGGATATCTAATACTTTTTTGATAGACGTATCTTTGGCATAAATTGTTTTCTGGTATTAAAAAATAAAATTGAAAAAATTAATCGTTTTCAGCATAAAATTTACAAACCCGTAATTTCTATATTTCTTCCTCCACATATTGACAGTATCGAGATGAATCTAAAAAATATATCTTTAACATCTTACTTTTTTTCAAATTTTATTTTAGATTATTTAATATAAAAAAAATAATTGAAAACAGTCACAATTTGAACACAGTATATATTACACACACACACAAAAAAAAAGCGAATGAGAGCTACCTTTTCTTAAGAAATAAAATTGATTAAGAAATCCCAACACACAATTACTATTAGAATGATACTTTAGGCTTTATATTAAAAAAAAACAGCATTCGAATAAAATAAAGTCGTCAGAGACCAAAATGACCAATACTATGATTTTTTTTTGTTTATTATTATTTAAAGATATACGAGTAGTTACTGACTTTATAAAATAAGCTATTGAAGATTATTTTTATTGCAATTATTATCTATATAGTTGCCTTTTCTTAAAAAAAAACACAATTTTATCTATTCCGAAAAAAACACTATTTCATAAAAAAAACCAAGTACCTATTTTTCATACTCAATTATTAGAGTTGGGTCACTTTTGTGCTGACGAATTAATTTATAAATCCTATAAAAAAAACAGATTTTTTTCTCATCTTTTTTACATATATCCCAAATACCGTCTAGTTATCATCGAAAAAGCCTGGATAGTATTTAAAAAAAAAATGTTATAAGCCTGAGCAGCATTCGCTTGACGGTTAAAATTATATTTACAATAAAAAAAATTTTTTATTAAACTTGTAAGAGTTCTAATAGTATCATGCCAAGTACAATTCTAATATAACCAGAATATATTGCTTTACATATTTACATATTTAAATCTATTATTTATAATTTGAGTTATGATATTAATTTTTTTTTGTGACAATTTTATTTAGAGGTATATCGGTTTTGTCATTTGTGCGTTCTTTCAAAAAAAAAATAAGAAAAATTCAAATTTGGATTTATTTTTCTAGCTTTTTCCCGTGGCACAACTATTTTTTTTTAATATTAAAATTTGAGCGAATATTGGATAAGAATAAAAAAAATATTAGGTACTTTTATTTATGGCAAGACCAAAGCTAGTAAAAAATATGTTAAGAGGTATAGTAAATGCTTCTGTTAGGATCAGAATGTTAGGAACAGAATTTTTACTTAAGTCCTATGGCAATTTTATCTCATACCAATTTATGATAAAGATGTCTAACGGTACATCCAATTCGAAATCATATTCAAAGCAATTATTCCACATCTTTTTGAAGTTATACTTATTTTGGCACGTTTGGAAAAAAATATGAGAGTAAAATTCTTACGTTGCGCGCGCACGCCGACAGCCAAAAAGCGACATGATGAAGTTAGCTGCATTCCTTCTACAAGCAGAGAGTTGTGACATACGGGATGAAATCTTTAGCTATTTTTGTTCTGTTACGCCAAAGAAGTATAACTTCTTATATACGTGCATATATAACTACACACACACACGTTGTTTTTTTAATTATATGTGGCTCTATATTCTATCTGTACTCTTGATAAAGTATTAATTAAAAATATTATGAAATCAAAAAATATCGTGTTACATCTTCTCCTATTTTAAAGTCAGTAAATAAGACTGTTCAAGAGTTTTATTAAACGTTATACACGCCTATTTGTAAATATGTTGCTTCGTACATTAACACACAGCACCATCTAGTTCCATGGTAAGCTATGAGGCCTGTGTTATGGATACCAGATAGTTGATACACTACACATATATAACTTTAAATACATACATATTATAAATATAAACACCCATGACTGGAGTACAAACATTCGTGCTCATCACACAAACCCCCAGCGGGATTTGAACCCCCGACCGCTGGCACAGCAAGTAGGATCACCACAAACTGAGCCAGTCGTGTTGTCAAATTTTTTATTGCAGTTATTTGAGTTTCTACATTAATAAATGCCATTTAATGTTATGCCACTGATTATAAAAAAAAAATCTTGCCTAAGTTCCGAGAAAACGCTAGAAAAAAAAGTTATTTGTCTATTGACTTTAATAAATAAGATATTATTGTGACGTAAAATTTGGTAGTAATTTCTTTAAACTTCTATTGTTCGAATCTTCAAACAAACTTTTAAGGAAATATACCTGAAAAGAAAAAGAAAAACTATTAAAAACTTGTTGGTATCATTTAATTTTATAGGTACGTACATATTATGGCGTTGCTTCTTTAGATCTTTTGAAGAAGTAAAATTCTATAATACATTGTTTACACACACATATATATATATATATATATATATATATATATATATATATATATATATACATACATATATATATATATATATATATATATATATATATATATATATATATTTCTTAATTTGTGTCAAAACTTAAAGCAACAGATCAACGAATTTCCAAGTTGTTGTTATACCCCGGGGGAGAAGCCAACTCCTACCGGGCGCGTCCCCAGGTGGCGGATAGGGGCATGCCACCCGCTTAGAGGGGCGGGTGGTACCGGAGAAATCCGGCGCGGACCAAATGGCTTGGATGGGGCCGCTCGTCTAGGCCTCGAGCCGAAGACGTTGCGGTCACCGGTGGTGGGACCGCTTGGTCCCACAACCGGATGATAGGTGCCGGTTGCGGGACTGTGGTCGCAGGCCCGCATTCGGCGGAGGGGTAGGCCGCGGCGGGAGAGGAGTGCCGGTATTTCGGTGCGCCGTTCTCCCTACCTTCCGCGGCCTAGACGGGGCCGCCACCGTTTGATGGCGGACGCGGTGGGGCTGCAGGGGAAGAGGAGTGTCGGTGTTTCGTTGCCGCTCTCCCTGTCCTCTGCAGCCGATTGGAGGTGGCCCACTTCGGTGGGCGGTGTTTGTGTGGTGTGGGGCTGCTCCGGGTACTTCTCTGATCAGCGGAGTGGACTCAGGAGCGGCCTCACTTTTTTGGTTGTAAGTCTTCCCATAATGGGGTTGTCCCGCTTGGGGCGGCCTCATGGTTGGTGGCTTCGGCCAACCGTCGGGGCGTCGCGGTTGTATGCTAGAGCGATCCCGTGGCGCCCCACATGGCGGCAGAAGGGGAAAGTTGGGTTTTAGTGGGTATGCCGGTCTCATTAGCCGGAGAGTCTCCACATAACCACCCCGGGGGAAGTCGGGTGGTATCCGTAATAGGATTTCCCAACTATAAAAAAAAAAAAAAAGTTGTTGTTATACAAAAACAAACATATAATTATGTATGTATATTTTAATATCTCACCTGTGTAATTCCAACCACCGACATGAAAATAATTTGTCCGAGTGACCACTTCATTACTCTGCAAGAAATGGTAAATTATACAAATTTCAATTAAATATTTGCAAACTGATAATAATAAAATTATTTTTTTATCTTGGAGCTTAGTAAAGAATTGTTCTGTGTTGTTTCTCTGTAAAGAGATGTTAAAAAATGATAAGAGATAGATAGTAATGATAAAAATGATAAAAGATAGATAGATATATTTATAAATTTTATCGATTAGAGTACCCGAAAAAAACTTTAAAAAAAAAACTTCCAACTTAAAAAAAATATAATTGGAGGTACTCTAAAACAAAATATTTAAAATTATACAAAACTAACGACCAGAACAATGTTTCTTTTCATGAAAAAAAAAACAATTACGTAACATAAGTTTTTTTGCCCACACTGACCGTGTCCTTGGTCCTAGACACTGCTGATCTGACACATTGCTGAATTGCACTATAGGTATAAGTTTTTTATACACAATCGAATTATTATACTTGCGAATATTCTTGACCATAGTATAAATGACCTCCTAACTGACGTTCTTTCTGTTTGACTCGTTCTCACGATGATTTTTTTATTTATTTTTTTATTTATTGGTAATCTTACAGCGTTACAAAATTATTGATATACAGTTAGAGCACAAAGTTATTAATAAATATGGCCAAAATTAGATTACTCTATTAGATATCTTTATATATATAATTCTTCTGTGAGTGTGTATGTCACTGAACTTCTCTCAAACGACTGGACCGATTTTGATGAAATTTTTTGTGTGTGTTCAAGGGGATCTGGGAATGGTTTAGATTCACAATTTGAATAATAATTTTCATCAAAAAAAATATTAAAAAAAGTTTGAAATTTTCAAATTAAAGACGTGTAGACAGGACAACGTCTGTCGGGTCCGCTAGTAATAGTATATGTATTAGACAACAGAGTATTCATATATTGAAAAAGGTAAAGAAAATGATGACTGGCCAAGTGCTCTATTCCTGCCAATCTCACACTCTGTTCGGACGACAATTATTTATTTTCCTTTACTTAAATCGACACGACCGGTAAGAGATCAGGCGCAGAACCGAAAACTTTACGTAATCTCCTCGGCACAGGGGTAAAATTCCCAACATTACTAAGTTTTTCTCGACCCAGAATTTGAACCCAGAACCTCTCGATCCGCAGCCGTACGTACTAAAAATTACAACAGCGGTCACTTACTTATCACACATCTCCTCGGCGAGATTCCTGTCCCGCGCCTCGTGAGCTGACAGCAACTCCTGGAGTCGTCGTGCTGTGGAGACGTTGTCCTTCACCCTGGAGACCGAGTCTGATATGTCCTTCACCCGCATCATATAGGTTTCTGCTGAGTTACCTGCTAGCATTGAGAGTTTGCATCTAAGCCCGTTATTGGACTGGATTGATACTCTTATGACTTTAGGGATTGGAGAAGAGAGGGAGAAGATGTAAGAGGCAGGATAGCAGGTAAGTAAGTAGGAGGGTGAAAAATATTTTACTACCTATTCTCATACCTACCAAATATATTAAAAAAATCATTAAAATTGGACGAGTACGACCACAAACACAGTGACACGAGATTTTTATATATTACATGTATTTAGTATACCTATAAATAATATTTAATATACGTCTAGGTAAATTAATTTTACATTTAATAAAACAAATTTCAGTGACCTTAAACTTTTTTAACAGTGATAAATCTTTATATATATAATTCTTCTGTGAGTGTGTATGTCACTGAACTTCTCTCAAACGACTTTGATGAAATTTTTTGTGTGTGTTCAAGGGGATCTGGGAATGGTTTAGATTCACAATTTTGTCCGCTGGACAATGTTTTTTTAATTAATTTTTAATTTATTAGTAGTTGTTGATTTTGGAATGTTTTACATTGGATCCGACAGACGGCGCTACCATCGCAGTGTCAAATTTTAAATAATATTCGAATTTTAATTTTAGTCTGTCCCGACAGTTAGCGCTGCGATCAAATTAAAAAAAAGTTTTATCATTGTAGACAGGACAACGTCTGTCGGGTCCGCTAGTGATTTCTAAAATATAATAAGCGTTAGCTATGTATGCAGTACAAACTCATACTTAATGGCAGATTTTTTAATAATTAAGAAAATTACATTTGATTTAAGAATATCACCATCATTTTCTTTTACTTAAAGATTTTTTTAAGTTCAGACTATATATTTTTGAGGTCATTTTTTTCTTTTATTAACTTTACACATTCATCAATGAGAAATCTATTTAAATATAATTAACTATTTTTTCTTTGGCGCCGTTCATAAAATACGTCACGCTAAAATCAACTTTTTTAACCTCCTCTCCCCCTATTCACGTCACGCTGTGTCACACACACTTTCTGTGACCCCCTAGAAATTTCATCACAAAAACTAAGACCCCACCTCACTCTTCCCCCCACCACCTTCAGAGTATGATAAATTTCAAATGATAGTACACACATTTTGTGTATTAAAATATTTATTTAGTTATTATAATAAAATTTAAATAAATCAATAAATATCTTTTATAACAAACATATAAATAATAAATAATATTTCTATTAATCAGAAGTCCAAGGATAAAGGCCACTCGAGCCTCGCCACAGAGCTAGCGCTCATGTCGAAAAATAATGAACGGCGAACGTCACGTTGCCATAGACCCCCCCGTTCCCCCTTGTCTCATCTTGTCATACTCAGCAAGAAAAAAAAAACAAAAAAAACTTTGAAAGAACTTTCAAGCTCTTACCTTAACTTTAAAATAAAAACAATTCCATATTTTTTTAAGTAAGATGGCTGTAACATACGGACAGACGGACGTAAGATACTTTTATTAAAGTCCCGTTTTTGCATTTTAGCACAAACTTAAAAAAATAACTTGTTCTACATATTTTATCATGTGATGCAGATATTTTTTCTATGGAAAAGTAATTTTTTGGGACACGAATGACAGAAATAACTCACCCAACTCCATCTCCTTGTCCTCATCATAATCTTTTTCACTGGTCTCTTCGTTGTCTATCATGAGATCAAAGAATACCTACAATAAGGACATTGTTTTTACTTAAAATAAACACAAATTTGACGACACGACTGACTCAGTTTGTCGTGATCCTACTAGCTGGCCAGCGGTCGCGGGTTCGAGCCCCGCTGGGGGCATTCATTTGTGTGATAAGCACGAATGTTTGTACTCCAGTCGTGGGTGTTTATATTTATAATATGTATGTATTTAAAGTTATATATGTGTAGTGTATCAACTATCTGGTATCCATAACATGGAATGCTTACCATGGAACTAGATGGTGCTGTGTATCCCAACATATTTATTTATTTAAATCATCTATATTAATAATAAAATATTATCACTATCAATCAAAATAATACTAGATACAATCCCATGCAAAAATTCTCTTGAAACTGTCACCAATTGTGTTTAGGTAATTATTATTCTAGTTTCTAGTAGTCAACTGCCTCGGTAGTGTAGTGGCTAGCACGTACGGCTGCACACTCGGAGGTCCTGGGTTCGAGTCCCGGGTCGGGTCAAGTTTAGTTATCGAGTCTTTCTGTATAGTAAGTCTCAGTAACAGCCCGGAGTTGGGAAGTTGGCGGTGTTTCACCCCCGTGCCTCGGAGAGCACGTAAAGCCGTCGGTCCTGCGCCTTAACTCTCACCGGTCGTGTCGAGCGGTCATCCCACCGGAGTATGAGAGTGATAGGAATAGTACACTTGTGCACTATAATATCTCCTGCGCAGTTGGCTAGTCTCAATGAGATTGGCCGCCGTCACCGGAATCGGCTAGGAGAACATCATCATCTTTATTCTAGTTAAAATAAATATACAACAATGTAAATTGAACCTTAAAGGCAATGCTTAAAGTTGTTTTCACAAAAAAATGGCATTAAAAGCACACTCAAATGTTCAAATGAGCTCTCATTCGGTGAGGACATTTTTTTGTAGCTGATTGTGTATCTAGTACTTATTTGATCGATGGTGAACACCAATAAAATAATATTTAACATGTAAAATAATAAAAATACTCACAGTCTTCTCACTAAAAGTGCTAAAAGTGTTGTCAAAACAGAACCTATAGTCCCCTTCTAATATTGACGTATGTCTGTGAGCATTCTCAGGTTTTTTATAATCTGTGACAATCACTCGGCCAACTGGATCAGTGAGTTGGAATGAAACATCTAACTCTCCATGAGTTGCATCTATTACCTGAAATATAGTTTAAATTTTCATTTTCCGTTTGAAAATATTAACAGCTCTTCTAAAAATACTGTTTTTTCCTCCTCTCAATCAATCAATTTATCACTGACGACACGTTTGGTCCAGTTTGTAGTGACCCTACTTGCTGTGCCAGCGGTCGCGGGTTCGAGTCCCGCTGGGGGCATTCATTTGTGTGATGAGCACGATGTTTGTACTCCAATCATGGGTGTTTATATTTATAATATGTATGTATTTAAAGTGTAGTGTATCAACTATCTAGTATCCATAACACAAGCCTCGTAACTTAATATGGAACTAGGTGGTGCTGTGCGTTAATGTCCCAACATTTATTATTATTATTTATCACTGTCTATATAAAAAGGAGGTAGGTCTTGGGCAATGTGCATGTATCTACTGCCCAGGACCAAGATGGTTGGTGCTCATTGGGGGAACTTCTCCCTTCACATACCAATAATGCATCAAGTCACAATAATTGCTCCTATCACCTTACCCATATATTGAGTAGTCTGTGAAATAATAAATTGTTTAAAATTGAAACAATATGATAGAGGTGAGTCGCTAGTTATTGTATAACTCACCCTTGCTTCACTCGGGTTCGTCCCTAGGTTCATTTCCCCATACAAACTTCATCCTCATTTTCGCATCTTTAGGGGATGATTTCCGTGATAAAAAGTATACTATGTCCTACCCAGGGTCTTAAACTATTTTCTTACCAAATTTCATCAAAATCGGTTCAGTAGATCCAGAGATTACCCCCTACAACCTCACAAACTTTACCTTTTTAGAATATTAGTATAGATTAAGCATTTGAGAAGATATTTATAGATAGCTATATTGCTAAGTTAGGAGTGAATTTTTATTATTTTTATAAAAATTAATGTAATCTAGTGATAAGGAACTAATTTATATCCTCCTGTTAGCAGCATTCATAATATGAAAACCTTTTTAAAGCATTTACATAATATTAAAATATATAATTATAACATGTAAACAGTTTTAAAGATTGCTTTTTAATATTTTTGGAAAAATGCACTTAAGAATTTTGGATTGACACTGTTTCTAACATTTTGTTGTCTGTCTGTAATCTTTAATTAGGGTGAAAATTAATAAGATCTTTGAAATGATTATAATATTTATAGGGCAGGGGAGTCTAAATATTAATCCACTCATCTAGACGCCACATCCCTAATATTAAATTTGTATTTACATTTTATTAAGTTAATATAATAGGCATATTACACAGCTTGAGCACTCTGCTCTCATATCATGCAGTTATATCTTATTTTATATTATACATAAAGAAAGGCACAAAGCATTTACTATTATATATACTATGTAAATACATAAATCGGTAGACTTAAAAATAATTAAAAGAAATTGTACCCACTGTATTGTGTTTTCAGAAAACTGTCTTATAGTCACTATTGTTTACAAAGATGAATAGTTTTATGATAAAGCTTATAGAAATACTTTTTTATTAAAAAAAAATAATTTAAAAAATAGTAAGTAAAAAAAATATATAAATTTAAAAACCTAATAAAATATTTTCTCCATTATCGTACAAACCAGAGGCAAGATAAAAAGGCACATAAAATAAATACTATAAAAGTGGTCTGAATTCATACTTTAAAGGTATAATATTTATACAATACTAGCAGTAACTGCGGCTTCAAAAACTTCCAATCACTAACAAAATTTACAGGATCATCTGCTGGGCTAATCTCAAGATTACCTTAAAATTTCATCAAAATCGCTCCAGCTGTTTTGGAGTTCATAGGAAACATACATACACACATCGATTTTTATTTTATTTATTCAACAATTTAAATATATTTATTGCTCGGAAAATGGATTTTTTATGAAAATTTAGTGACACACCAACTGCCGTGCCACCTACCGGATCCATTTGTGAATTTAAACCTTACAGGGACCCACTCGAACATACACAAAAAATATTAATAAAATCGTCCCTGCCCCTTAGATGATCAGTGGCAAACCGGCTGCAGCGCCACCTACAGGGCCCATTTGTATTTTCAAACCTTCGAGGGACCCACTCGAACATACACAAAAATTTCATCCAAATCGGTCTAGCCCTTTATGAGAAGTAGGTTAACAAACACATGTACAGAAGAATTATGTATATTAAGATAATAACTTTTATTAATAAAATAGTACCTGATATTCAATATCAATAACTTCATTCAAAGACACTTTCTGGTAGAAACAGTCCATTTTCCCGGCTTGCACGGTAAAAGTCATATCTTTCTCGAATGCATATACTATGCTAAATATAGTTGAAAGAAAAATGTACCGCATTTTGATTTTTTCGCTTCTTTTCTTGGCACAAAGTTGTTTTATATTATTTTGAATTATAATTTATTAACAGTTGCTGTAATGCATATATTCGTTTATTAATTTTTAGGTTCTAATCTGTGATTCTAAGTGTAAAAGATACGTTTGAAAATAAATCTAAATTCTGAAATAAAGCAAACACCGAAGTATTTATAGCATTGACAGACGTCACTGTCAAAGAATTCATTGGCTTACTATTACAAGGTTCTATGTTAATTTTCATGAAGTTTAGTAATTTTTAGATAGAACTTCGTTATTTTGTTATTGTAAAAAAACAACATAGAACTATGTAAAATTGAATATTTTGTAGTTATAGTGCCGCTATCTAGTGGTTTGTTTTTGCAAAACTGTAGCTAATGACACAGAACCTTGTAGCATTCATAGCTAAATAAGTACTAAAAAAAAAAAATTGTAACATAGAACCTTGTAATAGTGAGCTAACGAATTGTCAAAGGAACCCCCTGTAACCCGGCCCCTGTCTAGTCCGGCACCCCCTGTAATCCGACATGGTCTATTATTTATTATGTATATTGAAAATCTTCGCTAATGCATGATATTATCACGGTAATGTTACATATACATTACCGTGATATTATTGTGCTCGACGCGTAGGGTATTGTTTTGATTCTGATTGCTTTTGGATTCTGATTGGTTTGAAGAAGATAGCGGTGCGGTATAGCGTGTGTTCATTGTTTACTGTTCATTCATTGTGTATCACGTATTCGTACCTAGTAATGTCGTCACAAGCTCAGAAGCGAAAGCACCAAACACTGACAATTAAAGAAAAATGTTCATATTTTAGACCGCCTAAATCGTAACGAATCTTTTAGTAGTTTAGCAAGTGAATACGGCGTAGGCCGATCTACAATTTATGACAATAATAAAAAACCACAAGAAGATTAAACAGTACGTGTCAACTACTGATTGTGGGTGAGACAAGAGACAGACACTCAAGAAAGCTAAACATGCAGAAGTGGAAGAAGCTTTTTACATGTGGTTTCTTTGGGAAAGAAACGTTTTGTGAGGAAGACACGAATGAGATTGAGCGGTAATATATAGAAACTTATCATTGGATTTGTAATTTGTCGAATTACAAGGTACTCTTTTTAAACATTTCCGGACTATAGGGACTATAGGTCTTGGGCAATACTCTATAATCCGACAAATTCGATAGTCCGACACTACCCTGCAAAATGTTTGTCGGATTACTGGGGGTCCAATGTATTTGCAAGGATACATTTTTATTTATAAATAAAAATAATGGCTATAAATTTAAATAAGTACAAAACGCAATAATTAAATATCTCTTTATTGTAAGCTTGTATTAAGTAAGTTAAATATAATAAATCGCAATATTTGGTTGCTCCTTGTAGTACCTATCTTTATTTAAATTAGTAAAAAAAAACAATACTAGTAGTGGCAACATTGAAATTTCTCAAGGTGACAGTTAGTGATACCAAGTACCAACCTGCAATAAAGTTTAAAACAAATGGCGATTGGCGAAACGTAAACAGCATTGTTCTTTTTCATTGCCCGTAGTAATTAACAATGTCTTCATAACAAAAAGTAATAAAAAAACGCAAAAATGTCGGGCTCAAGTGGTTCTGGCGCGAGTGGCATAGTTCAGAACAGTGCGTTAGCTTTCGTTGCGTCTGCGCAGGTTGTTAATCCTGATCTACCAACAAATCCTGCCACATTGCCTGGACCTACTTCTGATCAAGTCAATCAAACGGGTAATTTTACTATAACTTATTCATTGATAAACTTACACTTTAATTTTTTAAATATATTACAAAAATTATTTTATAAAGTTGAACAGCTGATCTGAATTTAAATGAGCTTCTGCTTTAAAATATTTATTTTATCATTTTTAAGTACAAATTTATCGTTTATTAATGTTATTTTGTTTCTTGTACTATATATTTTATTGTATATTTTTCTTAATATTTTTAATTATCATAATTTGTTTATTCAATTCAAAATTCTTATTTACCACTAATATGTATATATTTTTCTATTTATATAATGTTTTTTAATCATAATTTATTTTTTGTGTTTTCAGGACCCTTCATGCCTCCTGGACTAAAAGCACTTTATGAAGCTTGTACTAAGGTGTACCCAGATCAACCTAACCCCTTGCAAGTCACAACTAGACTTAAATATTGGTAATTTTAAATCTTTGTATATATTCCAGAAGGCAGATGAAGTTAAAAATTAACTTCCAATTTTGTTTTAAAATCATTCTGAATTTAACTGTAAAATTTAATGATAATTTTGAATGAATTTATAGGACAATTTTTTAAATTAAATTTGATATATTATAAAATTACTAACTAATATTACTTAATAATGTCCTCCCGACCAATTTCGAACTTGGTGGTCAATCTCATTGAGACTAGCCATCTGCGCAGAAGATATTACAGTGCACAAGTGTACGCGCAGACACAATGTGCACTCTCTATTCCTATCACTCTCATGCTCTGGTGGGACGACTACTTGACACGACAAGTGAGAGATAAAGCGCAGGGCCGATGGCTTTACATGCTCTCCGAAGAATTGGTGTGAAACACCAACAATTTCCCAAAACTCTGGGCTAGTACTGTGACTTCCTTAATAGAAAAACTCAAATTTAAAATTTAATAATACCTATTAAACTTAGGTTAGGCGGTCAAGATCCTCTGGACTATATCAGCATGTACTGGAACCCGGGCCGGCCTGATGAGAATATACCTCCGCATTGGCATTACGTTAGGTAAGGTTTCATTTTTATTTTATAATTTTACCTAACAATAATAAACAAAATTCTATGTTTTATACCAGTTACAATTTTTTTAAGGTATCTGTTATATTTTACATTCACCATATTTTTTACTATGTATTATTAAAAATAAAATAAATCCTAGTCTCCACATTTAGTCCCCGGGGCGTGTTAGTGTACATATCTAATGTATTTTGAAGATAGATAGGTTTTCCCATCTCCTTCACTGTAAGACAAGTGGTTATCATATTGAAAATGATTCATAGATAAAAATATCAAAGGTGCGGCACCTGAGTTAAAATGAATGGGACTATTGTATGGATTTTTATACTGTATATTAATAAAACTAGCAACTCACCCTCATTTCGCTCGGGTTTATACCTATTTATATACACATATAATTATATAGTTTCACAATAATGTATGGAAGTCTGCCCGATTTGTTGATATTTATGATTACTGCTCCGCACTCTTGGGTAGTTGCATGATCATTCATATATAGCCTTTCTCAATAAACAAAAATAAAATAAAATAGCCTTTATTACAGGAGTCAGAGTTACAGAGTTATTCAGATAAAGTTGTTTTAGGGTTTACAAAATATCTCTGATTTCTGTGTGCCTTTTGGCAAAGGCCTCCTCCATCTGTCACCATTGGGCTCTATCTAGCGCCACTCGTGTCCACAGTGGCCCTAGAGTTTGGCAGATTTCATTCTCCCATCTCCTTATCTGGCACCCTCTTTTGCGTTTACCGATTTTCTCAATAAACGAGCTATCTAATTCAAAAATAATTTTCAAATTGCATTGGTAGTTCCTGAGATAAGCGCGTTCAAACAAACAAACCTTGCCTCTTTATAATATTATTATAGATTATAGATAATTAATTAACAAAATTCACTTTCCAGCTTCGGACTCTCAGATCTGCACGGCGATGGTCGCGTGCATCCAGATCCCGACCCTGCGGAAGGGTGCTCCGGCTACGGCCTGGAGCTGACCTTCCGGCTAGAGAGTGAGGAGAGGGAGCCCCCGCTGTGGCCGGCTGCGTTGTTGCAGGCGCTGGCCAGATATATATTTATTACTGGTATGTGTGGGTTCAGTTTGTTTGGGATGAAAATATGGTTTTTTTTTTAGTCTTTGACACAATATAACTGAGTAGAATATATTATAGTGCAAAAGTATTTGTACAGGTACAATTGAACTCTATGCCTTTTTCTCTCAAAGTTCGATGGGACGATATTTTGAAACGACCGGTGAGAGTGTCGGCGCAGGACCGACGGCTTTACGTGCTCTCCGAGACACGGGGGTGAAACACCACCAACTTCCCAACTCCGAGCTGTTACTGAGAATATCTTGACAGAAAATCGCAGTATTCAAATGCCGCCCGACCCGGGATCGAACTCAGGATCCCAGCATCTGTCGTATATGTTAGTCACTAGACCACCGAGGGGAGGGAGGGAGTTATATGGGCTGAATACATACATAAATAAAAGCCCAAATTCTATAGGAAAGAACATATCTTCATCTTATCCATTATTGTTGTTGTTTGACGACACGTTTGGCTCAGTTCGTTGTGACCCTACTTGCTGTGCCAGTGGTCGTGTGTTCGAGTCCCGCTGGGGGCATTCGTTTGTGTGATGAGCACAAAGGTTTGTAATCTAGTGGCGTTTATATTTATAATATGTGTGTATTTAAAGTTATATATGTGTAGTGTATCAACTATCTGGTATCCATAACACAGGCCTCGTAGCTTACCATGGTACTAGATGGTGCTGTGTGTTAATGTATCAACATATTGTTTATTTATTTATGGTCTGTGTGCAGGCAACAAGTTCCTGCCGGGCGACCACGTGTCGTGGCACGCGCCGCTGGACGGCGGCAGCTCGCGGCTGCGGCACCTGCTGGTGGCGCAGGACCCGCAGCTGGGCGCCGCCGCCACCCCGCACGGCGCCGTCGCCTTCCTGCAGGTGCTCATGCTATATAAGCGACTCATCAAATCAAATTACACTTTGTTCAAACACACTTTTACAAACACTTTTAAAGTGTCACTTTTTATATTATTCACGTTTTAAATTATTGAGGAATCTACCACCGGCAACACTTTAACAACACTTAACTGAGAATAGGTACTAAAAACATCTAGTTCCATGGTAAGCTACGAGGCCTGTGTTATGGATACGGGATACTTGATACACTACACATATATAACTTTAAATACATACATATTATAAATATAAACACCCATGACTGGAGTACAAACATTCGTGCTCGTCACACAAATAAAAGCTCCCAGCGGGACTCGAACCCACGACCGCTGGCACAGCAAGTAGGGTCACTACAAACTGAGCCGAACGTGTCGTCATAATATATGTAAATTTGCAGCTGGTGGGGTGTACGAGCAGAGAGCTGCGCGCGGCGCAGCGCGGGTCCGGCTTCGAGGTTATCAAAACTATCAGTGAAGACCCTAGGTACATATCTATAAACTTATCTTAAACTAGCATTGCCCGCGGCTCCGCCCGTGTTCAGATGACCAAAAACCAAATTCTTAGGTTTTACATATTAGTATACACTTGCACACATTGCAGTTTTTTATTTTTCTTAGAAATGAGACATTTTCCCGCGGTAAAAAGTATCCTATATGTTGACCCGGACAACCAGCTATCACCATACCAAATTTCATCAAAATCTGTCCAGTGATTTTTCCGTGATGCGGTAACGGACGGACGGACAGACAGACAGACAAAAATTCTAAAAACTATAGAATCGGCTTCTGTATTGATAATAATGTTTATTTCAATAAGATTTTTCAAAAAATATTTAATGTACAGATTCGGCTTAGTTACAATTTTATTATATGTATAGACTAGCGACTCGCTCTCGCTTTGCTCGGGTTCGTCCCTAGCTTGATTACCAATACAAAATTTCATCCCCATTTTCACCCTCTTAGGGGATAATTTCCGGAACAAAAAGTATCCCATGTCTTTCCTAGGGTCTCAAACTATCTCCTTACCAAATTTCATCTAAATCGGTTCAGTAGATCCAGAGATTACCCCCTACAACGTTACAAACTCACAAACTTTACCTCTTTGTAATATTAATATAGTGAAGTGTAAAATGTTTATACATTAAGTATAGTATAATATAGCGTAATATAGTATAGCTTTAGTATAGAGATAGTATAGCATTAAGTCCACTGTAAGCCATACTTTAGTAAATCTCATGTATCATCCATATATGGTGGACCACCCATTGAGCTAAGCTTATTAAATATGTCACCAACCTAAGTAGACGTTTATCTCTGAAACCTCTGAAACATACCACATTAGAATAGATGAAAATAGTAAAAGCTTACACAATGATATTGAGCCGCTACTGCTGGCGCCCGCAGGTGCGGCGGCGCGTGGCTGGTGTCCCGCCCCGCGCGCGGCGCCGCGCGCCTGCCCCCCGCCCCCGCGCGCCGCGCCGCGCACCTCGCCGGCGTGTCCGCGCGCGTGCGCTGGCTGCCGTACACCTGCGTGAGTACATTTTGTTGTTTTGTGTGTATATCACCTTACTGTATCTTTATAGATTGTATGTCTATATGCTACTGTAATGTGTGATCTATGTTACTGTAGAGTTACATCGAAATCGCTTCAGCAGTTTTTGCTTATTAACGTTAAAAATATTGTAACACAACAGAACACACAGAGAGAGAATGAGAAAAGGTGAGACAAAGAGTATGAGAGGAGGGGAGTGAAGAAGTGAGGGGGGTAGGGAGGGACAGAAATAGAGTAACAAATTCATACATTCTCACAAACTTTTGGGGCTTATACTATTAAGATATACTTTATCATGTACATTAATATCTAACAAAATTGTACATTAACAAAAATTGCTGCTACTTTTTTTTTGTTTGAAAGTAATATAACTCCTTTGAGAAAATACACACAGTAGCTTAAAAATAACAAATTTTAAAATGTTAATTTGTAGGTCTAACTCATATTATTACAGTAGCACTTGAGAGTACCCCTCAGTTCCTTCAATCCAGGGTTCATACAACATTTTTGTTTATATTAAAATTTACGTCCATCCCTAGCTTCCGCAACAGTAGCCTATGTGTTACTCCAGGTCATAATCTATCCGAGTGCTGAATTTCATCCAAATCTGTCCAGCCGTTTTTATAAATACAAAAGGCCCCAATGGACGGGCGTCCAAACGAAGCCAGATCCTAGTAAAAATTAATTAAATTGTGTCTAAAACTATGTATCTTGCAGAGTGTGGAGGAACCGTCAGGTCCTCTGTCTCCGAGCGTGGAGCAGCAGATCAAGGAGACGCTGCAGAGGGGCCTCAGCAGCATGAGTGACAGGACTGAGGGTGAGTGTTGACACACACCCAAAAAAAGGAATACAGAAGTTAGTGACTTTCTGACTGATGTGGATCATGGTGGTCGGAGCGTGAGCGCACACACATACGCACATAAAAATATCGGAGGTGCGAGACCCGGGATTTGAACCCGCTTCACTCGGTTTTCCAAGCGAGCGCGTTACCACTGCACTACCACTGCCTACCTTACACATACTAATCGTTAAAAAGTACCTAGAAACGAACCCGAGCAAAGCTCATATATAATGCCCAACTCACCCTCTCCCGTCCTCCCTGTATATCTCCCTCTCTGCCTGTCTTTTCCTCTCTTTCCGCCTCTATCTCTCCCCTATGTCTCCCTACATCCCCTCTATCTCTTCCATCTCTCGCTCTCTTCCATCTCTCGCTCTCTTCCATCCCTCGCTTTCTTCCATCTCTTTTCCTCCACCTCTCTAAAACTTCTTACTTAACTTTTAAACATTGAACTGTCACAAAAAAATTGTATACAGAAAAGATAACAATAATTAATTCGTAAATTCTAGCTCAGAGAGGCAAATTTATTATTTTTCCATACAGATAAATATATAATTATATATAATTGAAATGTCTGTGTGTAAGGTCAAAATAACAATTAACAGCTTTTTACTTAATGCATATGAAAGCATGTATGGTACTTATAAGAAAAACACAATTTTGTCTGTTTGTCCCATCTAATCTCCGAAACGGCTGGACCGATTTTGACGGGACTTTCACTAGTAGATAGCTGATAGTGTATATATCTATATTGTTTTCAGGACACAAGATGTCAACGGACAGCTTTGAGATGTCAAGTATGGAGCGCGCGTTGCCTCGTCTGCCGGACAGTATGCAGGTACACTAAATATCCAAACGAGTAATATAATATATTTTTATCTTTATCTATACTAATATTATAAAGAAGTAAAGTTTGTGACGTTGTAGGGGGTAATCTGTTGATTTACTGAACTGATTTAGATGAAATTTGGTAAGAAAATAGTTTGAGACCCTGGGAAGGACATAGGATCCCGGAAATCATCCCTTAATGGGATGCAAATGGTGATAAAAATTTGTATGAGAAAACAACCCGAGCGAAGCAAGGGTGTGTCGCTAGTCTATGTATATACTATCGATTCACTCTTGCTTTGCTCGGGTTCGTCCCTAAGTACGTTTTAACAGTTTGTGTATGGCATGTTTAGTTGTTGTGGGTTGTATTATAACGTGTTTTCTCGTGGGAATGAGATAATCTCCCGCGGTAAAAAGTAGCCTATGTCACTCTCCAGCCCTCCAACTATCTCCACATAAAAAAACACGTCAATCCATCGCTCTGTTTCAACGGGGAAGAAGGACAAACAAACACACTTTCTCATTTCTATCCATATATATATATATATATATATATATATATATATATATATATATATATATAAAATTGTTTCCAGGGTTCGTGGAGAGGAGACGATGAGGTGGAGTACCTGGACGGAGTGCATGTGATGCTCAACGCTGAAGGCGCCAGCTTGCTGCCCTTAGCTATTGAGTGAGTTCTGGACTTTTTTAATTTTTAGTGTTCCCTGCATCAATCAAAAAATTACTAAGATACACAATCCCATGCAAAAGTTCTCTTAAAACTGTCACCGATTGTGTTCAGGTATTTGTTCTAGTTGACATAAATATACAACAATGTAAATTAAACCTTAAATGCAATGCTTAAAGGTGTTTTCACAAACAAAATTAAACTAAAAGCGCACTCAAATGTTCAAATTAGTGCTCATTCGGTGAGGATAGTTTTTGTCACTGATTGTGTATCGAGTATTTTTTGAGCAATAGATCCCTATTATATAATTTAAGGGAAGAGGGGTTTTGATTATTTGCATTTATCTGTTTTTTTTTGTAATGAAACTTATCCGTTCTCCCAACTCCGGACTGTTACTGAGAATTTCTTAATAGAAAACTCATTATCTGAACTTAACCCGACCCAAGACTCAAACCTGGGTTTACAGCCGTACATTCTAGCCACCGATCACTTAGACCACCGGGGCAGTTCATAATGAAAATAATAACAATATAATAATAAATATGTTGGTACATTAGCACACAGCACCATCTAGTTCCATGGTAAGCTACGAGGCTCGTGTTATGGATACCAGATAGTTGATACACTACACATATATCACTTTAAATACATACATATTATAAATATAAACACCCATGACTGGAGTACAGACATTCGTGCTCTTCAACAAATGTATGCCTCCAGCGGGAATCGAACCCGCGACCGCTGGCAGAGCAAAGCAAGTAGGATCACTACGAGCTGAGTGAAACGTGTCGTCAATAGTATAGTAAAGTGTAATATAACGTATCCCCCGCCAGAGGGCGCGTGCTGCAGGCGCGGCACTTCACGTGGCGGCACGCGGCGGGCGCGCGCGCGCTCACCGTGCTGCCGCCCGGCGTGGCCGGCGCGCTGGCCGCGCCCGCCGCGCCCTACGCGCTGCGCGGCGACTGGCTGCAGGTACACGTTTCCGTTTTTATTGCATTTTAATTCATTTATTCATTCATTCATTCGTTCATTGATCCATTAATTGTTTCAATAACCATTAAAGAGTGAACCAAAAAAATCTAGATGTTATGATTACAAAATTCGAAAGTTTATTATTAAGCAATCAATATTAGTTTATATTTAGATATTTTCTCATTTCTACACAAATATATTATTAAAAAAAAACCACTCACTAGACTCTCTTCGAGTAAATATATTTCTATCCCACGGGAAGCGTAAATTTTTCGGGATAAAAACTAGCCTATGTACTATTCCAGACTATAATCTATCTCTATGTCAAATTTCATCCAGATCCGTTCAGCGGTTCTGGCGTGATTGAGTAACAAACATCCATCCTCACAAATTTTCATATTTATAATATTAGTATAGACTAGCGACTCGCACTCTCTTTACTCGGTTTCGTCCCTACGTACGTTTTAACGTTTAGTATAGATTTCTCAGAGATGAGATATTTTTCCGCAGTAAAAAGTATCCTATATGTTGACCCGGATAACCAGCTATCATCATACCAAATTTCATCAAAATCTGTCCAGTAGTTGTCTCGTGATGCGTTCACAGAGAGACAGACAAAAATTCTATAAACTATAGATTCGGCCTCTTTATCGATAATAATGCATATTTCAATAAGATTTTCCAAAAAATATTTAATGTACAGGTTCGACTCGGTTAGAATTTTATTATATGTATAGATTAATTATGGAATAAAATGGTGTACATGGGATTATTGTACTATAACATGACTTTAAAGCCTTTCAAATAATTCCAGATCCTCATCCCACTGGAGCTGGCACACCTCATGTCACAACAAGTCTCCGCACTCTCCAGGTTAGCGGACAGCGACTCGGAGGATGACGGAGAGAGTGCACCCACTCTCCCTTTAACATTCTCCTGGCCAAAATACAGACTGAGTCTGTCCGTGCTGCATGATATGGACATTTTGTAATTCATGTTATATTATATATAATGTACAAATAAACGTGTTATTTTATTTTTCTTTATTATTGTTTAATTTTTAACCTATTATCCGACCTGTTGGTAGCTTCTTCACAGATGTATATAATTATTTTTAACGTCCCACTGCTGGGGGTGGGCCTCTCTTCAATACGAGGATCAGGTCATAGTCCACCACTCTGACCAAGTGCAGGCGGACTAAGCATGTCTTTCGAAAGCTTGTTAGGTTCTCTCAGACATGCAGGTTTCCTCACGATGTTTTCCTTCACCGTAACACAAGTGGTGAGCATGTTGGAAATGATTCGCACATGAAAATATCAGAGGTGCAACTTATATATAGATTTATATATATATATATATATATATATATATAAAAATGAATCCCTATTTCCCTTGGTCACGCCATCACGCGTGGCTGGACCGATTTAACTATTTTTTTTTGTTGTGTTTGTCATTGTCAAGAAAAAGTTCTCATGAAAGAAAAAAGTAAAAAATTGCGCGGAAAATTATAAAATTTAAGAATACTTAACAACCATATAAATATATAAATAAAAATGAATGTTGAAAAACGCATAACTCAAGAATGGCTGGACCGATTCGGCTAATTTTTGTTTGTTAAGTTTTAATAAAGAGAAAAAATGAAAATTTTTAAATTAACGAAAAAAAAACAATTATATGGCTAACGCTGGTTAATAACTATTTATGTCTATTTAAAACGTAGCCAGCGACAAACCTGAGCGAAGCAAGGGGGAGCCGCTAGTTAAATTGTATAAAAATTGAAGATTCAAAATTTCTTTTTAAAGTCTTATTTGAATGAAGTACTGAATTATTTGTATTTGATAACTTTAACATATATGTTCCGTTACCTAAAAATAGGCTTATGTATATATTTATTATTTTCCATTTTACGAATTTCTACTATTCCTTATATATATACCTACTAACATTTTAAATTCATAAAACTTCAAGTTTTCAATATATTTTTTTCTCTTAAAAATAAACGGATTCCGATTGGTCTAATAAACAACATACCATCTTTCAAAAAGTGTTAGTGTAAAGGGCGGCAAAAAGCTAGATCGGGCCCTGCCTCGCAGTGTCACCTTGATCTGCTGCTCCATCGGACACAAGGGACCTGATGGTTCCTCCACACTCTGGAAGATACATAGTTTTAGACATAATTAAATTAATTTTAACTAACCTGGCTTCGTTTGGGGACGTCCTTAGATGCCTTTTGGATTTTTAAAAGCGGCTGGACAGATTTGGATGAAATTCAACACACAGACCATTAGCTAGTGTAACATATAAGCTACTTTTAGGGATTTAGGGACGCACCCAAGCGTAGCAAGGGTTAGACGTAGCCCATTCATAAAGTCGTTACAGACCGTTGCATTTCAATTTGCTGTCATTTATAAGTTTAAAATAAATAGAACTAGCATTGCCCGCGGCTCCGCCCGCGTTCAGATGACCCAAAACCTAATTCTTAGGTTTTACATATTAGTATACTCTTACATTGCAGTTTTTGTATTTTTTCTCAGAAATTAGATATTTTCCCGCGGTAAAAAGTATCCTATATGTTGACCCGGATAACCAGCTATCATCGTACCAAATTTCACCAAAATCCCTCCAGTGGTTTTTCTGTGATGCGGTAACAGACAGACAGACAAAAATTCTAAAAACAATAGATTCGGCCTCAGTATCGATAATTATGTCTATTTCAATAAGATTTTCCAAAAAATATTTAATGTACAGATTCGGCTTAGTTACAATTTTATTATATGTATAGATGATATTTGTTGTAGCGGACCCGACATTGTACTGTCTAAACGTTGGCTTGGGTCCGCTAGTAATATAAATAAAAAATCCTAGAACTCGACTGTAGTGCCGCCTACCGAGTCCAATTGTAAATGTATACCATCCAAGGAAACTCAAACACGCAAAAAATTTAATCAAAATCGATCCAGCTGCTTAGAAGTTCGGTGACATACATACAAAAGAATTATAATTATACTAGCAGAACTCGCGGCTTCGCTCGCGCTAAAACTACAAACGAATCACAAAAAAGGTAGTTTCATACAAAATTTCATCATCTATTTTACCCTCTTATAGGATAAATTTCGAAAAATGCTAAAACACGTATTTATTTAATTTTATTAAAGGGCATTAATACCAAGTTTCAAGTAATTCTGATCAAAAACATTTTTTTTGGATTGTATTATAAAGTGTTTTCCCGTGGGAATGAGATAATCTCCCGCGGTAAAAAGTAGCCTATGTCACTCTCCAGCCATCCAACTATCTCCACACAAAAAATCACGCCAATCCGTCACTCCGTTTCGACGTGAAAGAAGGACAAACAAACAAACACACATTCACATTTATAATATTAGTATGGATATAAAAGTAGGTAAAGTCTTAAGTGAGTTAAGTGTCACACGATTGTGCTATTTTTGTTATCAATAAAAAATTAATGCCATCGAATTTCGGCCACTTGGCGAATATTCGTAATAATATAAATATAATTAATGATGCGTTGCAATCCACAGTCTGCACTCCAACGTACATTGCCCTCTTTACAGAATGGGTTTATCTATACTAATATTATAAAGAGGAAAGTTTGGTTGTTTGTTTGTATCCAATACGCTCCGAAACTACAGGACTGATTTAAATGAAATTTAGTAAGAAGACAGTTTGAGACCCTGGGAAGGACATAGGATAGTTTTTATCCCGGAAATCATCCCTTAAGGGGGAGAAAATGTGGATGAAATTTTGTATAGGGATAAGTTTGTATAGGAAAGAACTCCTAATAAAAGTTATAATTGTGTAAATAAAATAAATAAAACTAACGTGTCTGTGTGTAATTTCAAAATAACAGCTTTAGTTAGGTACTTATAAGAAAAAAAAACAGTTTTTTTTGTCTGTCTGTTGTTCCGGCTAATCACCGAAACGGCTGGACTGATTTTGATGGGACTTCCACTGGCAGATAGCTGATGTTATAAGTAACTTAGGCTTTTATTTCAGAATAAGAAAAAGCAAAAAATCAAATGTTTTTTCTGCGCAAACAAATTAAAATCTACGAAATTGTGACCCGAGCGAAGCGAGGCAAAAGTCGCTAGTATTATTTATTAAAATAAATATGTCATCTGATCTTACTTATGGTTAAACTTTACCCTGTATAGATAAACAATTAAAAAAAACAACAATGATAAAAAAAATCAACAAATTATCGTGTTGGAAATCCTATAATATATCCTAAACAGCATCACTATCCAACTATAGCTAACAATCGTCCAGGTGACACCATAAGTCCAAAAAATCATCAAAAACGGCCCAGCCGTTAAAATAATGACGAACACACGCACACCGGAATCTTACGTAATATTCAAAGATAATTATGCCAATGTCAGTTTTATAACGGAATCGTTCTTAGGACTCGGAAACGATTGTGGTTACTTTCTTTTTTTTATTATGCAACCATGTTCTGGCTGGAGCTTGTAATGTTTAGTTAGAGTTGCGAAGTTTCCTCGCTGTTATATATCTATATTGTATACTTCCCAATACAAACTTTCATCCCCATTTTTAACCATTTAAGGGATGATTTCCGGGATAAAAAGTATCCTATGTCCTTTCCAGGGTCTCACACTATGTTACCAAATTTCATCTAAATCGGTTCAGTAGATCCAGAGATTACCCTTTACAAAGATGGCGTCTCGACCCCGCTTGAGACGTAGCCTCTGCTTATAATTTGAATTTAATAAAAACTAAACTAAATAGGATAGTGACTTTTGATCAATTATAAGGTTTTGCATTCTAGCACAAAAAGATAACTAAGTCCTCCTGCGATATATATACCTATATATTTTCAATCTCCGACGCAAAATGACGGGTAATAAGTTTATCGTGTCCTGTGTGCGTGTCTGTGTGTGGCATCGTAGCTCCCGAACGGATAAACCGATTTTGATTTTGTGTTTTTTGTTTGAAAGGTGAATTAGCCGGAAGTGTTCTTAGCTATGTGTGTGTGCGTGAAAATAGGTCCAAGATGGTCGGATGTTTTTAAATTTTTAATTTTAGATCTTTATGTTGTTTTAAAATGAAACAACATTAGTCTTCCGCTTCAAAGTCCTTTATCTATACTAATATTATAAAGAGGTAAAGTTTGTGATCTTGTGAGTTTGTGAGTTTGTGACGTTGTAGGGGGTAATCTCTGGATCTACTGAACCGATTTTCAAAATTCTTTTACCACTAGAAAGCCACGTTCTTTCTGAGTGTCATAGGCTATATATTAACCCAAAAAATGAAAAGGCTTTTACGTGGTAGTCGGATTTGCAAAGTAAGTCGGAGAAAAAACGGTCGAACGAAAACGTTTCTTACGAACGCTGCCTTAACTATGAGAGATATATGATTATGTTCTAGAGAAAAGTTGTAGAGCTTAATAATGCCTACAAAAAAGTCAGCGACAGCATATATCTAACTTTTATATTTAAGTTACAAAAAGTAGTTTTTTATATTAAAAAAACAACTTAAATCGGTAGGTAGGTCATGTTTATTGGTCATATTATCAACAATTATGAATTCTTATCAAAATAAGTAAATTTGTCGTCTAAAATGTTTAAAACAAAAGACTTTTCCCTTTTACTGCATATAATTTGGACAAATGGTTAAAGAGATAATACAACATATTCGTAGGTATGGACGAACCCGAGCGAGTTGTTTGTCTGTTTTTCTCTTTGTACGGGCTAATCTCCGGATCTATTAGACTTATTTAAATAAAATTTTCATGGTGGTACCTTATATCCCCGGGCAACATATTAGATACTTTTCATCCCAGAAAATTAAAGAGTTCCCGTGGGATAGTTAAAAAACTATAACAAATTATACAGCTTAGTACACAAAAACTACTGATTGGATTTTAATGAAACTGTACAATAATATAGTTCATACATAACAAAAACAAATAAGCTACTTTTCATCCCGGAAAATTAAAGAGTTTCCGTGGGATCGTCAAAAAACTATAATAACTTATACAGTATATATAGTACATAAAAACTACTGATTGGATTTTGATGAAACTTTACAATAATATAGTTCATACATCAGAATAACAAATAGGTTACTTTTTATCCCGGAAAAATGTACTTTTTCCGTGGGATAGATTTTTTGTTTATTTGTAACGTATTATGTACACAGCATAAACCCCAAAACAATAGTTACTAAAAAAATTGTCTGTTTGACTGTTTGTCTGTATGATAACTTATTAATCGAGTCAACATTTAGGGTACCTTTGGTATGTAGTATGTATGTATGTATGTATGTAGTATGTATGTATGTATGTATGTATGTATGTATGTATGTATGTATGTATGTTGTATTCAGCCCTTTTTAACGTACCACTGCTGGGGGTGGGCCTCTCTTCAGTACGAGGTGGATCAGGCCATAGTCCACCACGCTGGCCAAGTGCGGGTTGGTGGACTTCACATGTTTTTCGAAAACTTGCTAGGTTCTGTCAGACACGCAGGTTTTCCTTCACCGTTAAGACAAGTGGTAATTTTGTTAGAAATGATTCGCACATGAAAATATCAGAGGTGCGAGACCCGGGATTTGAACTTGCTTCACTCGGTTTCTCAAGCGAGCGCGTTACCACTGGGATACCACTGCCTAGATCTTTACTTAAAGAAAATCCTAGACCTTTCACTTAAAGAAAATCTTTCTTTCCCACGGGAAAATACAATAACTGGTTTTATCGAGTCCTCCCTAGAAATCTTCCGCTGGCTAAGCCTTAAGACTTACATACATCAAAACAATATACTAAAAAATTGTAGGTCTTGAAAACTCCTACAGAAAAATTCTGAATGTCTATCTCCTAAGGTACACTCGCTATAACTATTTTCATTATTATATATTACTGTTTTAATATACGTTATTTATTCTATCTGAATATACATATATGAATAATAAAACTGTATAGGTCGAATGTCTGTACATAGATGGTAGAAAAAAATTCAGAAAAATGAGTCAGTTCTCTTCTTACATCCCGTAAGGAGAAAAATAGAACAAATCCAGATTTTTTTCAATTTTTTTCTTTCTCTGTCTGTTTGTCTGTTTGTACGGGCTAATCTCCGATACTATTGAACCTATTTAAATGGAATTTGGTACTTTTCATTCCGGAAAATTAAAGAGTTCCCGTCGGATAGTTAAAAAACTATAGTAACTTATACAGCTCAGTACACAACAACTTATGCTCCTAATTGAGTAATATAGGCATGCTGATACCTTATATTGCCGGTCGAACAACAGGTTACTTATTTTTATCCCGGAAAAATGAACGGTTCCCGTGGGATAGATCTGTTTGTACTTTTCTAGAGGTGAACCCGAGCGAAGCGAGGGTGAGCCGCTAGTATGCCTATAAAAGTGCCATCAAAATCATCAAATACACATATTTAGTTTACAAGGTTAGTTTCGAGGATTTTCGCGAATAAGTATATATTTGTTTTGGCATATTATGCCTTCTGCCCGTGGCTTTGCTTGCTTAGCTACATTCTACATTACAAGCGACTCACCCTCGCTTCGCTCGGGTTCGTCCCTAGCTTGATTCCCCATACAAAATTTCATACCCATTTTCACCCCCTTAAGGGATGACACCCGGAATAAAAAGTATCCTATGTCCTTCCCAGGGTCTCAACCTGTCTTCTCACCAAATTTCATCTAAATCGGTTCAGTAGATCCAGAGATTACCCCCTACAACGTCACAAACTCACAAACTTTACCTCTTTATAATATTAGTACTACTAGTATAGTATTATATGATCTGTGTTTGTATAGAGGTAGTTAAATAACAGATCGATTACATATGTAACATTATTATTCCATCGAAGTTAACATTATTTCCTTACCATTAATTTTTAAAGTTTTACCTCTTTTGGTACGTTTGAAAAAAAAATATGAGAGTAAAATTTTTACGATGCGCGTGCACACCGACAGCCAAAAAGCGACATGATGAAGTTAGCTGCATTAGTTCTACAAACAGAGTTGTGACATACGGGATGAAATCTTTAGCTAAATTTGTTCTGTTACGCCAAAGAAGTATAACTTCTTACGTGCGTACTTATGTACACACAAACACACACGTTTTTTTTCTTATCAAGTTACAGCTATCATATAAATAATTAAATTTAAAACAGCCTTGAAAAATAATAGCTTATTTCGTTGTCCTCGTGAGGCTGTAGAACTCATTATACCTATTTATACGAGTTAATTTTGTTTCGTTATGCGACTCCGATAAAAACGCTGTTTATCATTTGTTTTTTTGACCCACTGGCAGTTTTAATGATTAAAATATGTGTTGTTTTTAATTTAAATAGCTCAAATAAGTACTTAAAATACTTACAATTGCAATACAACAGTAGTTACTGTAAAGTTGAGATGTTTATTTATAATTATATGTAAGTATTCTATTTGGTCGGATTAAATCTATACGTGACTCCCTCCACGACGCCATCACGCCATTCATAAGCGTCACAGATAAAATACAAAGGAATATAAATTTTATTTTTTTAACCACAGACGTGATATTGCTTTGCGCATATTATTGTTTACATTGAAGGTTTATTTCAAGAAGGTTCTATATTAAATGATATAAATTTAATTTAAACTCTATTTACAATGGAATAAGGTTTGTTTTAGTCTATCTGTATGTATTGAGTTTAACAAGATGGCGGATGTTTTTAACAGAAGAGCGGCAACGTCGCACCACCCAAACATAATATTGATCAATGCTATAAACGGAATTGTTACCTGGCTGTCTGGATATTTTGATTATTTAATGGGACGCCACTTCACCTGTTTTATTTGTAAATATTGCTGTTTGGATAGAAGTTTCGAGAAAATAAACTAACTTAAATGATAATAAACAGATGAGCTACTTAAAGAGAATTAATTAGACCATGTGCTTTTACCAATTAATGAAAAAAATATCTTGAACTTAATTTAAGCTTGAAATGATTTAGCTCAATAAATAAGAGGTTTTATTAAACGTATGGATGCATCTAGAAATTGGGCTATTAAGACTATAACTATAATATTTAGTAGAAAATCGTGATTTTACATAACATGTTGACACGAAACATTCAGATAACAGTAACGTGGTTATCAAGTTATTTACCTCACACGTTAAAATGCTAAACCATAACGGTCTTTATTGACACGCAGCAGACAAATACCTTATTTTTCTAGAAGACGATACTAGGTGAGTTCGTGCCCTTTGCGGTTACATAGCTGTAATTTCATTACAAACAAATCCTAACGTATTCCTGGTGTTTTTAATTATTATCATATTTTATATTATATTTTTTATCATTATTACGATATTTTGTATATACTAGCGACACACCCGCGCTCCGCTTGTTAAGTTTTAACGTTTATCCTTCCAGTGGTTTTTCGGTGATGCGGTTGCAGACAGACAGACAGATATTCTAAAAACGATTGATTCTTTTGAATATGTTTTTTTTTCAACCAACTTCAAAACCGAGGAGGTTCTCAATTTGACTGTATTTTTTTTTATTTTTTTTTTTTATGTTTGTTACCTCAGAACTCCGTCATTTATTAACCGATTTGGACAATTTTTGTGTTGTTTGAAAGTATATACTTCCAGATTGGTCCCATTTAAATTTCAAAAAAAAAAACCACCCCTAAGGGTGGAAAAATAGCTAATGATGAATTTAACCTACTTCTAATTGTCATATTGACTTGAAACTTTGCAAGTGTTTCTATTTCCGTTGATATTTGTTGATATTCGGTATTGTTGACATGATCTGATGGTAAGGCCAGAAGGTGGATAAGTGGAACTTTTCAACGGCTAATAGTAGATACTTTGAGTTTGGGCTTGTTTTGTTTGATTTGACAAGCCTAACACGTTAGAATTCTTACTTTGCTCCTATTGTCCACACTAAAACGGGAAAAATAAAAACTTTTTAACAAAAAAATAAAAACCGACTTCATACAAAAGCACTAAAAAGTAAAAAATAACTGATTGGTAGTTTTCATTTACTATACATACCTAATCAAATATTTTCGAAATCGGTGCCAGCCCATATAAAGAAAAGCACACCGACTTTTTATTTTTTTATGTTTTTATTTTTTTATTAAAAAGTTTTTAATTATATTTAATGCACAGTTTCGACTGAGTTAGAATTTTAGTATATGTATACATTTGTTAGTATAGTATTATTAATCTGTGATATTTTTAAGTGTTTGTAACGGAGTAGATTACAAGTTTTCCTTTTTTTTAAACGGTTTTATTTACTTATTTTAAGTACAAAGGTATATAATATCAAATATAAAAATAATACCTTTAAAGTTGTGATATTAACCAACCGTATTCATAGAATATATTCATTATTTTTCAAATTTTCATGCTGATTTATTAATTTTACACATAAGATATTACCTATGTATTTTCTCATTATTTTAATACTAGCTGTGCCCCGCGGTTTCACCCACGTTAAAGTTGTTTACTTACAAACGTCAGTTTTACAATAATGTATGAAAGTCTACCCTATTTGTTGACATTTATGATTACTGCTCAGCTCCCTTGGGTAGTAGCATGATGATATATAGCCTATAGCTTTCCTCAATAAACGGGTTATATAATGCAAAAGGAATTTTTCAAATCGAATTAGTAGTTCCTGAGATTAGCGCGTTAAAAGAAACAAACAAACAAACTCTGACAACCACCTACAAACCTCTTTATAACATTAGTATAGCAATTTTTTAATATTTTTTATCTGTTTCTGTTATCTGTACAATTTTATTGAAGTGTGTCACATGACCTAACTTAACCTTATACCATTCATCAAACTTATTATTAACAGCAAATAACAAATAATAGGGGTAAAGCTTACCCTCTCCGAATGTACAAAGGGTAATTCTTATTGAGACCATTAATATAACTAGCATACGGGTCACGCAGCGAATTTGGGGATGCCATAAATTTAGATGTACACAGGATTTTCCATACACATTTTATACGTACTAATTAATGTGTATACAGCTTTACTTAGCCGTTGCAAATTTCTATTATATTTTTAAATTTTGTTGACTTTTAGAGATTATCTCTGGATATTACAATATAAAACAAATATACCTATAAACTATAAACAAACGAATTGTGTAATTGCTACATAACTATACTGAGATCGTATTATTTGCATGATATCGAAGCCAATTCATTTCTGAGTGTTTGTCAGAAAGGATTTTAGTGAAATTCAAAATTTCTTATAACTTGGACAACTTTTTAACAACATGTGGAGTCACGAACAAAAGTTAGTTATTAATAATAATATTTTTGTATATCTATTTGTCCTATTACATCATCCTCCTACCCTTTTCCCAGATTACTTGGGGTCGGCTTAGTGCGTCTTCCATACTGCTGAAGGGTTTTGGTTTAACGACCGGTCGCCTGACCGACATCAACCCTCTTTGGGCATATTTGTTATATATTATCCTTGAAATGACTGAAGTTTAGTTAAGGATACTTTCACAAGAACGTCTAGAGGGCAAGTTTAAAACAATGATATAGACTTGTTTTTATTACGTTTAAAATAATTCTGTAAAAACTGCAACAGAATAATTAAATTCAAACCAATTTTAAATAGAAATATTTATTAGGTTCTGTTAATTTTGTATTTATACTAAATGTAATAATTTATACTAATTTATATTTTGTTTGAATTCTGCAAGAAATTGTTAAGTGCAGTTTTTCTTGCTTTTTTTCTTCTATCAGGACAAAAAATTGTGCTCCTAACATCCTGGGATCGAAATAAAATGAATACTAAATACTGAATAAAAAAGTGTGTGTGGTGTGTGTGTGTGTGTGTCTCTGCAATTCACACAGAACAATAATCTGCGACAGAATGAGATAAATATAGAGTGTCAGGAGTAAAATAATTGTATGGTTTATTTTTTTATAATATTTTTACCAAGTTTAAAAGTTATTTTGCATTTCATTTAACATATATTGCATTAGATATTATTCAGTATTATTTTTCACTTCCTGTGTAAAGTATTCTATCTCATTCTCTCACCGGCTTAATCCTGTATATTTATGTGTTGTCTCTTTTTCGTGTCGCATTTTCGTTTCAACGAATTTCAAATCACAACGATTCTAAAGAAGTTTTACTTCAAAAAAGCTTTAATCAGCTCTAAAGCATATTCCTAAGTTATAAACAAAGTTGTGTTTTGCAATATGTTTTACTCGTTTTTTTTTAAATTGATAAACCCAATATATTTGTCTTCCAACATTTTTTGTCCTGTCATACCACAAATTCATGGTGGTACTAAAATAGCACAATAATTGTTGAGCTTATACAGCAGTGGACATTTATTACAAAGAACTGTCTATGTGCAATCAAACTGGATTTAGTAGAAAACTGGTCGGTCTAGAAATACCGCGCATAATATAAAAGGTTTTCGAAATGGAAGAAATTTTACATCTATACGTTGTTACGTGTTATATAATAAAATTCTAAATTGAATCTGTACATTAAATATTTTTTGGAAAATCTTATTAAAAAAAATATTATTGATACAGAGGCCGACTCTATAGTTTTTAGGTTTTTTTTTATTTTTTTTTATGGTGATAGCTATCCGGGTCATATAGGATATATAGGGTTATATAGGATACTTTTCACTGCGGGAAAATATCTCATCTCTGAGAAATATATACTAAACGTAACTAGGGAGTAGAGACGAACACGAGCGGGGCGAGATAGTCAATAGTAGATAATAAATTAATCAAAAACATAGCACTAATTTATAATAGGTACATCATAGCGCCATAATCTCCTAAATGCATTTTAATTAAATTATTAACAATTTTGTACATCTATGGATTAGATAAAGAATCGGGGTTCCGTGCAAAAAAAATTAAAAACCATACGAAATTGTGAACAAAGTTATAAGCCGGTGTACCTAGGGACGCACCCGAGCGAAGCGAGGGTTTGTCGCTAGTAATATAATATTTTTTATCGACAATCTGTGCTCAACTGGCACGCTTTGAAGCCAATAACAAGAGAATTAAATTGAATTGAATCTTTATTGACTTTAGCACAATGAATATGTATCTTACAGCTTCCCAAAGTTTTTGTTGAGAGATGTTTTTTTTATTAGCTTCACTTCATTATCTAAAAAATTATTTTCAAATTTTCATAAAATTCCAATTTGCTAGCATAGTTTTTTAATTCAGAAAAAAATCTAAATTAAGGACCCCACGAAGTGTACAGTATCTAAGTAAACTAAACTAACTAAACCCATGGGATTAAGACCAATTTTGTTTTTTTTTTGCAAAAAATACACTTTTTTTATAAAACGAAGATCTGTTGATGAATCCAGGATTTTAATTAACATTTATTGTATATCTGATGAATGCGTCATAAATTATGTGTATCAAAACCTGTAAAATTAAAAAAAAGAGCCATAGGCATGGACGCCATCAAGCCACTGTCGACAATGTAACACAAAACGACAATCGGTAACGGATATATGCAAAACAAATATTATTATCACCAATGTCCTCGCACTTATAAATTAAACAAAGAGCTACAACGAATGAACGAACAATGTAACGAAGACAAAATTAATAAATTATTATAGGTATAATAACTAGCAGAACCCGTGGTTTCGCTCGTGCTAAAATTCCAAACAACCCCAAGCTCAAGATTTAATATTTCTTGCTTTAATTTGTTTTAATCGAGTAAAAATATTTCAATTTCTAGTGAAGGCTTACCTCTCGATACTTGACTAGTTTATGCCCTTTGCTTCTCGTACACTTGAAAAAACCTTTACCTTAAAAAAATTGTGACTTTTAAACTGTAAAAGTCTGGTTAGCATATACGGGCTACAAATCTGCCCGACTATCTAGGTTCGACTCCTGCCCGATCTTTAATCGGACTGGTCAAATTTTTGTGCCAATAGCCTTCAGTAATGGTAATAGAGAGTGCACGACGTTGGTGCACGATGTGTAGGCACGTACATACGTACAACACTATTATATCTCTTGAACAGATGGTTAGTCTTAGTGGCAGAAATCGATGTCATTTCTATTTAATGTTCATGCTGAATCCATATATTTGCCAAGTCTCCATAAACCATCACATTAAACATGTGGAGATACCGTCTAGCAAAGCTTGTGCAATATGCAGGTCGGTAAGCACTTGTGGGCAATCCGATCGTGTCGGTTTTTGCGCAAAAATCAAAGAAAACTTTCAGCAAATGGTTATAAAGAATTCACACGATTGTGCGTTTGTAGAGATTTGAAGTTTGTGGCCAATGGCAAGCATGTGGAGCAGGCATTACATTTTATTTAGCACAAGAGATATCAGAATGCGAAAAGTTCAGTTGTAACGAGCTCGCTTGGATATTTAAATGAAGTGAGTTCAAAACAGGTCTCACACATCTGAGATTTTCAGATGAGAAACATTTTTAATATGATGAAGGAAAATATTGTGAGGGTTTTAACCTGCATGTTGAAGAGAACCTAGAGAGTTTTCGAAAGATATGTGAAGTTCACCAATCCACACTACTACCCTACTATCAACTGCAGCCTGCCCAGCAGTGGGACGTGGGCCTCAAGAACAGCTCCAAGCATATTTCAAGAAAAAAATAGTCTCGAAAATGGATTTATTTTTTATTATAAAAAAATCCGATAGCAATTTTAATTTATTAACATTTGTTTATTATATTTATAATAGTAAAGATTTTTTCATTTGTATTACTGTTTTAAAATATTATATATCATTTTAAAACATTATTTTTTGGCTTCATGTTTAGTTCTATAACACTCTTTCTATACTATTTTTTAGTCTAAGGAAAAACTATAACTAATAATAACCTTTAAGTGTTCAAATAGATTGTATTTAAACCCAGTGAAGTATTGTGAAAGTTGTTAGTAAATAGTATTCCTATATAGATTTATTTTCATTTCATTAGGCTTATACCTACTTGTTAAAAATGAACAAAATCGTAGGCAACAGTTGTTAAACATATAACTTTATAAGTACTTTAGAGCAAACGTTTACGAAATCAATTGACAACATTTCAGAAATATGAAGACCCTAAAATAAAAATACCGTTTCTTTATTTTCCTATTTTGAGTACAAATATATTTTTTTGGGATTTTTTTAATGCGTGGTTTTGGAGAAAAAAAATAAAATCTGAAAATATTGTGGTGACGTCACAAATAAGGTTGAATGAGATGATTGCCTTTGCCTACTAAAGATTAAGATGAAATTATTCGTCCAACGTCAGTGTCATATGTCATATGTGTCATTTCTGAATAATTGACGTTTGAATTTTGAATTGTTTCTCAAAATATGACAATCACAATAAAAAACAAAACGTTTAAGCTTTGAAACTTTTGTACACAAACAACTGACAAGGAAAGATTTTGTAATGCCAAAATGACATTAGTATATTTTTTTTGACGGATGAGAGAAAGGCAAAGGCAATATCGCTATTCAACCTAATTAATGACGTCATTTGTCGCTTACGTCTTTTTAGAATAAGACGAGTTTCAAAGTGGAAATTTTATATGAAAACGGCATCATTTCGAAAAAAGAAAAGATATGGGTCGACTCATTTTTGATCTAGTTTTAATTAAAATTATAACATAGGGATGTTGAAAAAATGAAATGTTGTCAATTGGCTGCAGAACCCGTCCAAGAGAAAGGCGACGTTGCCGCTCCGTGCAGCGAACGCGAACGGCACACCGACACCAGTGACCAGATACCTAGATGACATGGCTTGAAATTGAAAATTTATGCTTTATTACTACAGGCCTTTGCCACGATTCTTTATAAATGACCTTTTTTTTTAAAGCCAAAGGAAGAGAATGCATAATGTATAACTGTCAAGTTTTTATTAGAAAAATAACAGGTAGCCGTTTTGTCGGGTTTAATTTTTTTTTTCGATTTAGCTAATATGTTAAAAAAT